AGCAGCTGGGATTCTTTAAGGAGACCAACAAGCTGCAGCAACACGCCTCTGCAAGTGGCTTCGGTTAGACTTGGGAATGTTGCGTCTTTCATCCCGGTGACCCTCTACTCTGCGTTCACGGGGGTTTTTCAAACAACGCTGATTGATGATCTTTTTAGAGAAACTGTTGGTTACCTCTGTGACCCAAATGTAAGCTAATACATGGGAGGCTACTGGGAAGGGGGGGCTAGGAGATGGTTAGCTTAGCCTCAGCTTAGGATAGAATCTTAGAGGACGATCTGGCTCTTTCCAACACCAAATGAGATAAACCATATTGCAGGTAGGTGGATCTTTTCCAGCTTTGGAGAGAGCTTTCATGCTGCTAACTGGCTCCAACTTCAAACTAAATGGACAGACATGAGTTGCACCGATCTTCTCGCGCACCCCTCAAGAAATCAAGACGAACGTATTCCCCAAAATGTCAAACCTGTCAGGCCTGTGGCGTTTCTTAGCAGCGGGATCCTTCCCTTCTGAGCGAGGTTTTGCTCCTACGGTTGTCGGATGCCAACGGAGGAGAGCGAGGAACCAGCTGAGGAATGCCAGTTAACAGCCAAGTCAATGCGAGGAGTTACAAGACGCGAATAAATCGTTTAGCAAAAACTCACTGTGAGAGGTAACACTATTGCACATACCGGCAGCCAGCTTATCAGTGGCCGGCTGCCACAGTTGCCGGCTTCAATAAAGACGTACTTTAGGTCTCACCGGCCTCTTTTTTTCCATATCATTTTGTAAATTTACGAGCATTGTAGGCTGTAAAAGCTTTGTATGTGTCTGGGTAAGGTTTTAGTTTGACAGCGCATGTGTCTGATAAATGGGCATAAAATGAAAAATGTCCTCTGCCCTCCATCACTCTTCGGCTCTCATGGCTGAAACTAAACTATCTTCTCATGTCTTTCAGGAAAGTTAGTATTTTACCTGAATAGTTCTTCAACCAAGTACTGAACACATGCAACAGATGTAACCATCACACAAGGAACGCTAGCTCAGCTCACTTGATACCTCCAACCCACCTCCTCAAAAGCACAGTTATCTACTGTTAATAACTTGGAACTCACTACCTCCTCATATAACTTATCCAGGTAACAAACTGTCACTTAAAAACCCATTAAAGCTTATGAACATGTGGAAACCATATGAACTCCATTGCCTTTGTAGACTCCTGATCCTTCTTTTGAAAAAGTTGTCTAATGACCACATTATAATTTACATGGTCTCTACTGATATTGTATTTTAACTCTGATATATGTAATGTAATGTATTGTACGTTTTATATTTTTGTCCTTTCTGGCAACCCCAGGGAAGGTCAGCTGTCTCCAAGGCGTCAGCTGATGGTAATCCAGTTAATGAACAATACACAGTGTCCTTTGTCCTAAAAGTTGGTTCAACTAAGGCCCTGATTCTCGTCGGTTATGCAGAGTTAAACATTATAGAACTTGTGCAGTTCCATCTGTAGGAGATGTTAAACAAAAAGAAGATTGGTGTGATCTCCGGTACTCTCACTGAAGCACTTTCTAAGGAAAGAGAAGGTGCCTTCTTGGTCTGCCAGCTCGATCTCACCACCATTTTGACTTTTTGACTCAACAATTTCTTTCTTAATCCCCTGACGCAAGCTGATGAAGAAAACAATTCAGTGTTGTTGTACAACATGAGCGTGACCCACAGCGTTGTACTGTGAGCCACCAAGACGCTCTACTGGAGCCGATAGGTCCGTTGGAAAAATAGAATAAAAACAAAGTGCTGACATGGAAATGCATGGGATTAGCTTGATAATACCAGGATATGTGAATGTTTGAGGGGGGAAACATGTAATTGGATGTGAATTTGTTTGGATGGTGTGTCACCAGCATTTACACAAACTAGACATTCCTGTTCCTGTCCACTGAGGAGCACAGGGGCATGCAGCAGCGCTCTCTGATTGTATCGTACAAGTAGAGCAGAGAAAGAGAGTTAAAGGACAAGAGAGGCTTTAACAAAGACAAACGTGGTGGTTTGTGTGTATTTGTGTGTAGGTGGGGGGGGGGGGGGGGGGGGGGGGGGGGGGGTGGGTGGAAAGGAGGGGGCTGAAGATTTACTGCTGTCAGCGTTCAGACTAAGCGGCAGAAGTCCTCTTGGCTATGTCTGCAAGAAGATGACTTGTATCAACGGAGTGACTCTCCAACCACAGCTTCCTGCAGTCCTCTGTATTTCCATGCTGATTCAACATATGCACGGATAGGAATGCGTTTACTTACTGCAGCAGTCTTTGGGTATTTATTGTGATTGACCCACGTCTAGACCTTTTTCTGGGTGATTTAATTCTTGTGTGTAAAAACACTTCTTTATGTGCAATGAGGGATACAAACTCCCGTCTTGGTGGAAAGCAAATCGCTTGTCTGATCAGATCCCACTGGTCGATGCCAAGTAATACCAGGTGTTTATAAACCTGAACAGATGGAGAGGTGCCCCGGGGCTTAAGTGTTTCAGCACAAAGACGTTACATTCGCACGTTTTCACCCCACAACATGTCAATCAGGAGCAAACTGGTGGTTCGGTGTCTCGCTTAAGTAGAGCTTGACACACGCTTGATGGCTGCGCAACCACCTGAGCTACAGCTGCACCAAAACAGTTAACTCAAAACAAAACTATCATTCTTGACCCAGAGGGTTGTAGTTTTAAGGGGGCTGAGGAGGGAGAGACGAGACACAAAATCCATGTTTCCATTCAATTATGTAGTAAATAAAAAAAAATAAAAAAAAGTTTTCACTTCAAGTGGATCAAGTGGTCGCTGCTGTGAATGATCGTGTAACCAACAATGTTACAATTAACTTTCATAAACTAAAAACACACTCTAAAATGGTTAAAGTTCTAAGAAGAGTAACTCCCAGACCGGACAATGCAATGATAGAGACCTGTCAATCACAGTAGCCCCGCCCTAAAGCATCCCCTGCTTTATGGTCTGTTTGACTCTAAATGGACCATAATGTACTAAATGAACATCATGCTGTATTGAAGAAGACTTGAAACTAGAGATTGAGACCATAAACTCATGTTTACAATGTTTACTGAGGTAATAAATCAAGAGAGAAGTAGAGTCATTTTCTCATAGACTTCTATACAACCAGAGGAGTCGCCCCCTGGTGGACACTAGCGAGAATGCAGCTTTAAGACACTTTCTACTTGGTTTCACTTTTCAGAACCAGATGTTGCCGCCTGGTTTACAACATTACAACAGTGTCTGTTGCAGACACACCTGGCGGAGGTCTACGCCGAGTGCACTTTTCTAGTGTGAACTGTTTTTGACTGAGGTGTGGCACAGGTTCATGAAGCATCAGTTCTACATATAACGCTGGTGAAAACAAAACGGGTTCAACCAAAACACTTGGCCCCGCATACAACAGCTCAGCTGGAAGTGTGTATTCAAAACTCTGTGTGTGTGTGCCTAAAAAACACCCAGGGGCGAAAATAACTGTCTCAAGCACTGACTCATAAAACACACAAGTTAGAGCACATAACTGTAAACATGTAGGGAAACAGGCTCCGTGACTTATTATTTTTTTCAGCTCTGAGGTCACCAGTTCACCGTTATTGATTTGTTTTGTGATATACAGTTGACAGCCTGAATCAGAAAGTTGTGTTTATACTTGCACATACCGCTACATCACCAACTACCTCTCCACAAACGTCAAGAAAATAACCCCAATGATGCTGATGGTTTGGTGTCTGTAGCAGAGCCAATGAATCCTCCAACAGTTTGTATGATATCTTACGAAAAGTTACTCAAACTGCGTTTTCCTACAAAAGTCTAACACGTGTCAATTTTTGCTTGTTACATGCATACAGTCTGTTCAAAAATAAACTTGGGTAGGTTTAGGAAACAAAACTGCTTAGTTGGGTTTAGGCCAAGATTGGAAAATACTTAGTTAGGTTTAGGAAAAGATCGTGAAATACTTAGTTAGGTTCAGGAAAAGATCGTGAAGTACTTAGTTAGGTTTAAGAAAAGATCGTGAAATACTTAGTTTAAGGTTTGAGTACCAAATCCACGTCGTCAGGTTTAGGAAAACGCTGGATGGTCAACGGGTACAAACTGAGAAGCTGTCTTACTCTCACATTTCTAATACTCTTCCACTCAGTCCAACTCCAACACACGCATACATTGATATGATTATTATACCCACTGTCCTAAATGTTTCACTTTTGTTTAAAGATGCACCTAGAGCTACAAATAACATGACTGACCAGATGAAACGGGCCATAACGTCACTATTGGACGAGTGAGAAATGTACTTTTATTGAATGAAACTGAATTTTTGATCAAAAGCAGAACATCTGCTGTTTTTGATCAAAAATCTTAGGACTGTGTCTTTTCTATCTCAGTTTGTGTGATTCAACACATGTGCCCCCTTTATTTATGAGTGTGACGCCCTCACCGCTGAAGGTTCCATCGTAACGATGACAAATACGCCCAATTAGTCCCACCCAGAGGTTCAGTTCTGCATCGGTCCACACACATGTTTCTGAGCTCACTGTAACCGGGCGGATTCCTGCGCTCTGAAACCAGCCTCCATCTGTTCTTTAACCCGGGGTCAGCAGAGTCGGCTACGCACACTTCACATATCTTCATTCATATCCAAAATATATCATTTAGGAATTCCAGATTATAGTCTGGCTTTTGTCAGTTGGCGCTGTCGAGATGTAAGTAGATGTTTCAGCATGTAGGAGTGGTTTTAATTTAATTTAATTCACTTTCTTCCCTTCATAACATTTTTGTTTCGCCACTGTAGTTTACTATTGTTCTGATTGTTTGCTGCTTTCCATTTACAAAAACACCTCCAGCAAAACCATCTTGCCGTCCGATAGATTTATTTGATCTAGACTAACAATAAGATGCATGGGATGCCTCATTACTCGTTCAGTGTTGAAGTGTTGGTGTCATGTGTATTTTAAAGGACCATATTGTGTCGTGTTTTACTTTCTCCTCTTACCTTGGAGATGTACGCTTTGATGCCTTCGGCCAGTTTGATGCAGGGCTCGCCGAAGAGCTGGGCCAGCTGGTCGGGGATGTCCTGGTCCTTATCCAGAGCGTTCAGTAAACTCAGGCACTTCAGTTCCTCCGTCACTCCCTGGCTACGCACCTACAGAACCAACACACAGGGAAACGAAGATCGACAAAGTTTTTACTGACTTGTAGCAAAAAAAAAGACCATATCTATGCAAGACGTTCATAGTGTTTTTGGTCATTTTGGCATTTCAAACATACTTTATATTCATCGTTTTAGACCACAGTCTCCAAAGACATTATAGTGACGGTAAATAATATATACAGTGAGTTAAAAATACGTATGCACCTCCTCGTCAACTTCTGTTATCAATTTTGCATTAGTACGGTGGCTCTTAAGGACAATCGCGGCACAAAACATGAATTAAAGGGAAAAAAGTCTGTAGATGAGCAAATTGATTGCTGAATGGAGCACCTTGAGATAAGAAACCATCCCGGTAACAACAACCCTCGAGTGAGCACCAAACATCAAAGGGACTATAGTTCAAATGCAAATCCTGCAAATATTAATATAAGTGTTGTTGATCTTGGTCTTTGACTGGTCTTAATTCATGCACGTCTCCAATACAACATGCTGGACCTTCAGTGTGGAAGCCTCTTCGATGAGTTCCTGCCATGTTTTTCTCGTTTGCTTTCTCACAGCTTGTTCTGTTTTTCTCGTTTTCACGTACACATTTTACTATGTATTTCGGGGTTTTGTGTGCACATATCCCCCCCCCCCCAAAAAAAACATGCTTTTTCACTGCTGTGTAAGTCTGACTGTCCTAGGGGGGGAAACATTTGTCTTGTGGTGACTCGTAAAAAAAGAAAATGAAAGGGAGAGAACACACATGGTGGAAAAAAATTGGGAGTGAAAGAAGCTGAGAGCAAATGTTTTGGCACACGGGACTGCTGGCTCAGGCAGCTTGTAACACAACTCCTTATGTAACGCTGAGGGCATGCTCAGCCTTACTGAGGAGGTTCTCCTGGCCGTACGCTGGCGTACTGCGTCCATATCGAGACACCTAATAAGTCCTTTGTTTCCTCTTTTTTTTTGCTGCGTTTCCTGTTCGGCAGCGACATCGACTAAGACTTCTTTGGGAACTGATGTGCAGCAGGAGGCTTCGTGAGGCTCGGTACCCTTCAGGGAGGTTGTAAGCGTCACGGTCTGAAAGCCCTGCTAATGACTCTATAACAAGCACCGATGAGGAGGGAGAGATTAGAGCTGCAGTCCTTCACCCGTTATTTATTTTAAATTAATTTATTTCCACTTGATTCCCCGCTCCTTCACCCTTTTACTAATGAAACCCGCTGCTTTTGTCTTTTCTTTCTTCCCCTTCACTCCTCTCTTTGCGATACTGTCAATGTTTATGCGTGAGTGGATTTCCCTTTTTCCAGTGAAGATAGCGGCGTCTGTGCTTGTATGAAACGATCAAACCAAGCGAGAAAGGACAGGGCGCTTACGGGAAGAAAAACAAAACGGTCTCAACTTGTTGCCCGGTCCTGAAAAGGGATGACTCATGTCTTTAATGGCCTCACGAGTCTTTGCGGGGACAAAAAAAACCCCACAATGAGTCTAATTGGATACACATGTAATTGTTCTAGTCGGTGCACATTCCGGTTGCGAGCTTCTAGCCAGGTTGAGGTCAACTTTCTCAAATAATGTCACGTATGCCAAGAGCGTGAAGCTGAGAGGGAACTCTTTACTTGCTCCAAAAAATGTAGAAATAATGCAGCGTGTCGGTTAAGAACTAGAAAACTCAATTTTATCCTTTCGAACAGGACACGAGAGACAAAACGGTCTGAAGTTTTTTATGTTTTAGATTTATTTCTTCCTGTTGGCAGAGAAATGTCTGCACCTGGTATCGTAAATTTAATTTGGGCAAACATTACAAATCGAAAGCTTTTTTTTGTTTTTACGAGTGTGACTGGAACGATCTTCTCTATTTCAGCTCCATTTTGAAGCTTTTAAACACAATTATACATTTTGCCTCGCTAGAATATTGCGCGCACTGCTTTTTGTTGTCCAAGACCCGGCGGTGGAAGAGGATTTTAGATACTTGACTAAAGTTATAGCACCAATATGTCATATGAAAAACCTTCCAGTGCAGTTAAAAGTCCTGCATTCAAAGGTGTAATCAAGAAAAAGTAAAAATATCATGAGCAAAAATGTAGTTATGCACGTTAGTCCCTTTCAGAGTGATATATTATCATTATTTAACATATAATATTGGACTATTTTTTACTGCCACATCATTTAAGTCACCACTTTATATACTGTTTGCTGGTTTAATCTATAATAATGCATCAGATTTTCTTTTATTGGGAAATGTAACGTGTTAAATACAGTGGAGTGAAAGTATAAAGTAGCATACAAGTACTCAAGTAAAGTATCTGAAAATATTTGCATGCAAACACCTAGACCGTGGTTCCACCTTTTAGTCATCGGATGTATTTCGTGGTCAAAGGAGCAAATAAACACATTTCATTTCCTGTTCATTCTTCACAACAAAAGTCCCTCGTTGGGATTCTTACTGAATATCAGCTCATAAAGATTGGCAGTAAAAGTAACGTTAACGTAAGTAAACGACTTTCCAATCACCTATAGGGGTGACATCATCGAGACCACGTCTGTATTTTATACAGTCTGTGGTCCACACCGCATCCAAACTCAATGCGAGCCAGGCCACCCTGGCATGTGGTCTGGCTGGATCCCAACGAGAGCAAGATCCAATCTCGGAGCGGACAGACTTGACAGACAAAAGTTGCATTAACCAACTTAAAGTCACCAGGACTCACGCATCCAGAAAGCAACAGTAATGGATCATCTGCATACAATCGGGACGCTTCCCAACCAAAACTGCTGACGGCGGCGTCTGAGTAGAGACAGTTCGTCTATTGTGAGGTCGCTTGTGATGACAGCTTCCACTGGCAGAGGTGTTGGGGAGGTTTCGCACATGAATGAGTGGATACTGAGCCCGTTCAATCAGCAACAAATGGAGCGAAAGTAGGCCTTCGTTTCTACCCCGGAGCCTCTGCCAAAACACACTCCCTGCTTTGGTTGTTCTGGTTGAAGGATTGATTGTTATTGAGGAGTGTGTTTTGTACGTGAGAATAGAAGGTTAGACTTCATACGGGAATGAGTGTGTATGTCTGTCCATTATGTTTGGACAGGGCCGGTAGGGAGTGTCTCGTCCATGTTAGTGAGGAGATAAAAGCCCGTACACACCACTGCACTCAGCTAAAAAACAAGATTAGGAGACAACTTTCTGCTCCATTAGTATATGAAGACGAGGCCAGAGGCTAAACCGAGCTATGCAGAGAAGCATTATCATCACGTTGATATGCTTTCTTTTCTCAGGGTTTTAAGCTGCACAAAGAAAACTTCTCCCGAAGTAATGTTTGTGAGCGATCTTTTCATTTCTGAAAGTTTGAAAGTTTCTATGGGGACAAATAACAATAAATGACACACAAATAAGACACATGCATCATTTCTAGAGCTGCAACAATAAATTCATCGTTGTCAAGTATTAAATTAGTCGGCAACTACTTTGATAATCGATAAATCGGTTTGACTATTTTATTCATTCAGTTTGAAGATTTCATAATCTTTGATTTTGACCGTCACCAGATCTTGTAGCGGCAGCTACCTGTCAATCACAGTAGCCCCGCCTTAAAGCATACTCTGATTTATGGTCTATTTGACTCAAAATGGGCCATAATTTACTAAATGAACATTTTTTCCTAGACTTCTACACAATCAGAGGAGTCGCCCCCTGATGGACAGTAGAGAGAATGCAAGTTTTAAGACACTTCCTCATTGGCTTCACTCTGCAGAACCGAAGGTTGCCGCCTGGTTGCATTGCACCAACTTTCACACTGCACATCCTTTGATCCAAAGAAACACACCCGCCAAATGTGAAGTAGATCGGATGAACAATTCTCGAGATATAGGAAGAACACACACACAAAGACAGAGATTCCTTAATTTGTAGTTGGATGACCACTTCATGAAAAGTCAGAGAATCACCAAAGGTATTGAAACTCATCTTGAAGTGGTTTCCTGAATGTTGCTACTAAATTGAAATGGCAATCCCTCCAATAATTGGACAGTAATAGCGACATTCCGCTCAAAGTCACACGTATTAACTCCCCAGATGAAAAGGGGATGAATTACCAAAGTCATTGGGATTCAACCTTGAGGCGTCGCGGACATGTGTCACAAATGTGTTGCCGTTCATCCAATAGCTGCTCGGATATTTCAGTCTAGATGAAAGCGGTGGACCGACCAACCCATCCATCCCTCGAGCCACGTGGCCTGTGTTGGTTTATCACCGAACTTATTCCTGTGAGAGTCGGGGCTCAAAGACGCATGTTTTATGTCAAACTGTATTAGTCTAGCCTCTCTCGGTTGTTTCTGCACTCAATAGTATTGCACACCCCAACAGCCTGGTGTCTGACCATAAGTGGAAGTGAGCACCGCCGCAGAGCCGTCCTGGTTCTTGTACAGTACAGTTAACCTCGTCACTAGACTAGTGGTGTGACGGATCGTTGTCGATCCGGGATGCATGTGGATCCCCCCCTTTGCGGTTCGGCACACATGTGAACCACACATAAATTACACAGTTAAACTATCACAGCGTGAAATAATGTTTTACAGACGGTTGTTATCGGCCCATATTCAGTAAAAATATGTGATCAAGACATCGGCATTTATGCTTTCTAGCCGCCGATCCCTGATAATGTCACATGAGAACAGCAAATCAGTTTGAATTTACAGGAGGAATGTTAGCAGCACAACATAACTAGATATTAGAGAAGGAATTATGACCTGACACTAGCTCTAAGCAGCTTATAATACATCATAAAAATACAAAAGAAAAAATGTTATCAATGAAAAAACAATATTTTTATTTCCTAATCATTTGAAACTTGTGTTTTAATACAAAAAATATAAATTAGATGAGTGTAACAAAGTAAAAGGATAACATTGAGATTTTTTGATGGTTTCCTGACTTCAGAGCGGTGGAAATGATTTTTGGGACAGTGGCTGAAAAATAAAAAGTTAGCAGCCTTGTAGATCAGCTGCTATAACGA